GCTGGATCCAGAAGCTTCCGGTCCAGAGAAATTGGGAGCGGGCCCATGGTTTTGCGGCGAGTTCCCGGGCCTCTTGCCGCCGGAATTCGCGCTTGTGAGGGTGATAGACACGGATTGCTGCTGTTGCTGTTGGAGCTGCTGTTGGTTCTTCATGGGAGACTTGGGCCGCAAGGATTCTATGTCGGGGGTCGTTAGGACGAGGTGGGGGGCCTCGGGGGGTGGGTTACGACCCCCACCCCCGACCCAAATCTTACCATCCTTGTCAACGAAATTTCGGATATACGTCTGAAAAAAAAAAATGCGACGAGTTATGGCTAGTGAAAGGATTCGACACTTTCCTTTCAACAAGATTTTCTCCACATGCGTGCTTGTTTACAAAACAAGCAGGGTTAATATTGAAAAGGGTGGTATAGTGAGTTGATAGTGGAATTTTGATTATATATTAAATTAATATTCAAAACAAAATAGGTAAAGTTGATTTGATGTAAAAGTAAGAAAGAGATGATGTAAAGTGACAATTAAAATTATGTAAGTGGATGAATAGTGAATTAAAGTTGATGTGATATATTAGAATGACTGGTTTGTATTATTTAATTTTATAAATAAATATTAAAGATAGTGAGGTTGAGTTAAAGTTGAGTTAGATTTTGAGTATGGAATAAACGTGAGTGAAATATTTGTAAACAAGCACCCCCTAAGCACTAATTTTATCTGCCATTCTAAAAATACATTTCTCTAAGCAATGGTCAATGAGATTTCAACGAGAATGATCATGAAGAAAGCTGCAAGCGAAATATGGAAAAAAAATCATAATTTACTTGCATAAGCCAACATGAAGCGCGTACAAGTACACACTTATGTGCAGTGGTTTTGGGAATGTACATGCAGAAATACGTATCACAGTTGAAAACATTGAGAATGTACGCGTTTCATAGAGGCGAGAAGAGTAGAAAAGAAGAATTGGACCAAAAATCAAGTGATAAGTGTGTGCTTGTTTATAAAGTTTTTTTTTTTTTTTTTTTTTGTTAACCATGGTTAATTTTGAAAATATTGATATGGTTAGTTGTTAGTGAAATTTTAAAATTATATTAAAATAGTCTTTAAATAAATAGATTAATATTGAATTGATGTAAAAGTAGGAAATAGATAATTGAAAGTGATACTAAAAATGTGAGTGGATGAATAGTGAATTAAAGTTGATGTAATGTGTACAGATGATTGATTGATAGACATTATTTAATAATATTGATAATACTAAGAATAGTGAGGTTGAGTTAGATTATGAGTTGAGACGAAATTTATTTTAAGATAATTGGTAAACAATCAAACCCTGAACGACAATACTAAAGAACTTATCCAATTCACTTACGCTATGTTTAGTAAAACTAGTTGATAAGCTAGCTGATGGCTGATAAGCTAGCGTATAGTTTATCAGTATTTTCAAGCTTATAGCTGAAATGCTAGCTTATATGATAAGTGTTTGGTAAAATTAGCTGATAAGCTAGCTGGAATAAAAAATTCAACTAACTTGTTAGAAAAACTACCTAAAGAAGTTTATCAAATAAGCTCGTACCAAAAGGCTTATTTTAATACAGACAGCTTATAAGTTAGCCAAATAAGCTATAAGCTAACTTATTTGTCTACCAAACATAGCCTTATATGTTCTCATAAAACTCAAAAATATGGTGAGCATACCTCAGAATTGAAGTTTGATGAGGACAACTCTTTACCGACAGTCAACCACCCAGAACGAATATTATGGTCCTCACCAAACAGCTCCAGCCTTCTTCGACCAAGAGCAAAATGTTCAACTATACGATACATGTCCTCAGGCTTCGCAGTTGAACCTAAAGTACCCAATTTAAAAAAGTTTATTGTGGCAATAAGGATAGCAACTGTATATCTTAATTTCCAGAACAAATGAAGTTGTATTAAAAAAAACAAAAGCAACTTATAGATACAATAAGTTGGGGCAAAATGTTATTGGGAGTGGTTCACTGTCCTTCTTTCCTTCTACTTTATGATAATCAAGTATTTTCCCACTTCAATACTCCAGCCTAATACCATTTCCCTTGTGAATAATCATAGATAGAGTCATGAAGTCGAGACATGTAGAAACAATAATCAACACTGACTAGTTTAAATTCTTATCAGCTTCTTTTTGTTGAAGTAAATGGTTAAAACAATAATCCAAGGGGCTTAAGAAACCAACTTTCAAGGGCATAAAGAAAAAATTAAGAGTGATGTTTTGTGATCTGAAAAAACTGAAAATACAGAGGTTAAATATAAGCACAGGTCGATTACGACTTAATGCCACCAGTTAGGATCTGATTGAAGATTTCACCATTCTTTTTTAGTATATATATATATAACAAGGTAGGTCACCAATAATCACTATATCCATTCATGTCGAGCAACAGTTTTATGTAAATTACTAGTCATTCTTATCAGGTATACTAGAGATTGAGAATTAAATTAGAGGACAAATAAAAAAAAAAAAAAATCTATAATTGTAGCATGTAACTCAACTCTATGAAACACTTCACTACTAAAGTACATATATCTCAAGATTCAAGGAACAAGAAAGGCGAAGATGGATGAACTTAAGAAATGAAAAAATAAAAATGTCGAACATAATGAAGTTCATCTGATGCAAAAATCACACTTACCATAAGGAGGCTCCTCCGCAATTATTACATCAGTATCAATGTTCGCATGGATTATATGACCATCTGTACTGCGACGCACAGTCCCTTTTATGCCCATCAGACAGTGTTCCTTAAGAGCAAGGACAAATTAGCTATTCAGGAAACAGATTAGCAAATATTGTATTTCATTCAATCACATAGACTGAATATGCTTAACAGAGTGATGGACTTAAAAACGGAAACAACGTAGTAATGACAGAAGTCATTTCTAAATTCTAATATCTCCAACAATCAGCGAACAGTCAAATACTATTCTCCATCAAAGAAAGACATAAGACAGGTATCGAACAAAGTTTGAGTCGGTCACAATCCCTACTGCCGAAACAACGTAAGGGCAAAAAAATCATGCTGTCATATATTGTGTAGTTAGAATTCCGTGTCATTTCTGTTTAAATAATGATAATGATAGCTCCCCCAATTATTATATGGTCAATTCCAAACAACCAATATTACATAATTTGTCCCTACTACAAATAGTTAACACAAAAACGCAATATAAAATGTTAAAACTCTAATTCACATGAATATCTTCCTCCCACTATGGAGATTCTCAGGGAGCTTAGAGAAAGAGAAAGTGAGAGATGTACAAATTTAACGAGAATTTTGATGTTAAAAATTATACATTATAGGGATTGCCGTAAAACCTTACGATCAATCAAACAAGTTTGACATCCATGTTTGTTTAGGACATCCCTTTCCTTTCTACAGAGAGAAGGGAAAGGAAAAGAGAAAGCTGAGAATCTTTTTATTACAATTTCCAATCTAATAATTCTTTAGAATTGAAATTGTCTAGTTGCGGCATCATTTTTGTTTACAGGTCTCATCATACTTGGCGTCTTATTCTTCTCATTCCAAAATCTATCTTTCCTTTTTTTCGTCCACTATTGTTTGTAGATTATACATTCCAATGGGTTCTCCGTTGTGAGAAATCAAAACACACGTATAAAAGATTTATGCAGTGATCTATTACCTTTGAACGCTGAAACAGAGTATGTGAATCATGACGTAATCCCGGAGTTGCATTTGTTTTATTGGTCTTAACCCAGCATATATCTTCACATCTGCGAAATCCCCACTAAATACAAGAAAAATTAAAACTGAAACGAAGATAAAAATGAATTTGGAAATTAATCAAAACATGTAAAGGAAAGCAGAGGCTACAAATATTTGAGAAACTTGAGACCTGATTGCTTAGCTTTCATTGAGCTTCTTGTTTTTTGGAATAGTTTGGAAACATAGAACTCAGTTTTGAGTCATTGGATATGAGATAAGAAAAAGAAAAAAGTACTAACAAAATATTACAATCATTCTAAAGTAAAATTGTCATTTGAAGTTTCTGGAAGAGTGAAATGTAGAAGAGGATTAGAGATTTTGTAATAAAAATGTACTGATGATATTTGACATGACAATGTTTGGTCAAAATATAATTGGACATGCTCGGTGATTGACGATGAGCATAAGTCAACATTGTATGCTATAAAACGTCTTCACAAGCAATGGCACGAGGGGCAAACAATTTCTACAATGAAAATGATACATAAAATTTTCTCTAGCAACCACAGCTTCAGAGTTATTTCTTACCTTCTTTAGACATTGTCGACCTTGCTCTAGCCCAACACCATCCCCAACCCAAAGGAATATGAAAGACGGAGTGTCGGCAATTGCCTACAATCAGTAGATAAGGTAAAGGAAGTGTAAAACTCAAAAAACTATTCAAATTACAAAAACGATAATTTTAAAACAAGCACGGCATGTGAAATATTTTACACACCAAATTCGAAGACGCACCAAATCTAGTTGAGTATCTCCTTAATGAATCAGCATTGCAATAAAGCCAAGGTAAACATTACGGGAAATTACCTCAATCTTCAAGTTCATTATTTCTTCAAATGTCCAGTACTCCATATGGTCGGTGACACCTGGTGCTCGGTGAACATATTCTTCCCATGGTGGGTCAACAAGAATGACATCAAACTTTGTCCCAAAGAACTCGGGAGAAAGCGCTTGCTCCCTCAGATCACACTTGTAGTACATAGGAGGAGAAGCAGATTTTGCAACAATCTCATCTTTTTTCTGTATGAGCTCCCGGAGTTTGGGATAGTCCTCTACAACACTAGTCAGCTCGAGCTCCCGAATAAAATTTTGTGGCCGCATACCAGTGTCTACGAAGTTCTGGGAATAGTCGTTCTGCTCTCCTCTAGACGGGGCTTTCCCCGGGGGAACATTATTATTCCTAGGAGGAACCCACCCTCCAGAAACTTTCTCTTGCGGCTGACCACGAACTACAGGGGATAGTATTGTATTAAAGTTTGGACTAGACATATTAGGAGGCATTCCCCTTCCAGGCCCCGATGGACTGAAAACCAAACCACCACTTGGCGTGTTACCTACATTAGGAGAGAATCTGGGCGGCCCCAATGGTCCAGAGGGGACAGGTGGAAGCCCGGGAGGAACACCAAGCATATTCATCTCAACACCTCGGGCTCCCGGCCATACAATGGGAGGTTGAAATGGTGGAATGAAGACACCAGGTGAAATTGAACCTGGAGCAGGGGACATGTTGGGAGGTAAAGATTGCAATGATCCAGGAGGCGGCAAGCCGAGCGGCCCAAAAGTCGAACCAATCAAAGGCATCGGGATACCAGCTGGTTGACTGTCTCTCCCAGAAGGCCTACCCCTTCCTCCTCTCCCCATTCTATTCCCTCTGGCACCTTGAGAAGAGCTTCTATTGAAGGAGCCAAGCTCCTGGTTTCCAAATGGAGGTAGCGAACCACCACTGGAACTCTGTCCACCTGTACCACCACGACTAGGTGCGACTCCTTTCGGGCCTCTCGATTTTTCTGCAGGATTACAATCGTTATCATCTCTCCATAAATTCTGATTGTCGCTATCCATGAACCTATCCTTTCTATCTTCAACGTATTGTGCTGATCCTTGGGTGTTTTGTGATCTATCCTCCCTCGGATGAGAGATATCCTCAGGATCAGGTTGCTTCATGTCAGATTGCTGAATGGTCCTGGAATCATCTCTCGCATAATCAAATGGTTTGGTTTGAATTTCAATAACATCATAATTCTCGCTTGATATTCCGTATTTGGACGACGTTTTCACGGCTTCAGTCCTGTTCCCATCTTTTCTACCACCAATACGACCATCAAGCCTGTCACGACCACGCCTGGGCAATTCCCAATCCCTCATGTTCTCAAAGTTTGTTTCACCTTCTCTTGTTTCTTTATCTTGCTTTCTTTTCCGTGAATCTTTAAAATTCTCCCGGTCCCTGTTTCTGTCAACCCAACCATCATCTCTTCCTTTGGATCTGTCATCCCATGAGGCATCTTTTCCCAATTCCTTCCTCCTAAAGCTATTGCTTCGTTCATAATCTACGTCAAGATTATCTGGTTCGATTGGACGTCTCCCGATCTTCTCAGGGGTTCTGGAAGTATAATTTTCTTCATCAGTCCTAGTTTTGCCTCCTGCCCAGGTCTTAACATCTTCATCAGCATTTGAAGATCTGGCATAGCTGTCAACAGTCTCCCTAGTGGAATTTCTTTGTTGTTTGTGCCCCTCAAACCTCTCTTTGCTTGAGATATCTTTGTGTGTCGTAATTCCCATATTGTCTTCCTCGACAGCTTCATGTTTTCCTCTGTCACTCCTCTCAGAATCAAATCTTCTCTCATCTTTGTCATTCGGTGATTCCAAACCCCTGCCTTTAATATCATTTAATTCAGCTCCCAAAGGATAAGATTTTTCTCTTTCATTTAAACAATCGAGTTTGGCATCCGGAGACATGCCGCTCCTGACATCATTTTTTTCTCCATAATCAACAGTTTTATTTGTGTTGTCGGCCTCGTCCCATCTTCTCCTATGGTTCCTTCCATGTTCAGCATGCCCAATTCCCTTCTCTCGGCTATTATCCCTTCTCGAAGACTCTCTTGAATCTCTTTCTGGCAAATTTTCCAAATCAGTAACGCGTTCTGAATGCCTTGAAGACGATTTATTTATCTCACTCTCTTCAACTCGACTATACCCTCTACTCTCGAGTTTGCCACCACGTTCATACTTATTATCTACTTCTCCATCTTGATACCAAGTGCTCAATACATCCAATGTGTTCTCTTCTGGCCGCTTTTTCTTCACCTGCTTAGAGCGCGACTCTTTCCTGGTTTCATATTCGTCGGGATCACTATCTCTGCTTGACCCACCCACTCTCTTACGGTTTTCATGTTTGTCGGAAATACTTCTTTTCCTTCCATTACCATCTAATCCATCATCTTCGCCACTCCCCGATTTCCTAGATTTGCTCGACTTCTGCTTTCTCTTTTCGCTAACTACCCAGTCATCATCATCCCTTACGGAATCAATGTTCACCTCTATATCCTCCTCCGTTTCATGTACGGGAGAGCCCATTGCAGAGGAGACCCTTATAAATTGACCTCGACTTTATTGCCAAAACAGATAATACTCAATTACAAGTAGTCAATCCACAAGCAGCATCCTACAGTAAAAGAAAAAAAATATATGAGGATGAAAAAAAATCAATTTACCTACCAGCGAACATGCAAGTAGAAAAAGAACACACAGCGTGAGAAAAAAGAACTACAATTGCAACCAAAAACATCATGCCTTCATTTTAATAGTGAATTACAGCATCCTAATCAAGATTTTTTGAAAGAAAATAGAAATGAACATATGTACGGTTGGGCTACCTCGGCACTGGCCCATCATGCTAAGGCATAAAATATGGCAGGGGCTGAGCTTTAATGGAACCTAGGATTTAATAGCACCAGACAATACCTGCAGCCCCTATCAAGGAAATATGCTACGTCATATTACCTATCAATGATAAAATATTTAAGATGCCAACAAAAAAAAGGTAGGAACCCTATCATGGTCTTCGAGGATGATAAAACTGCAAGCTTGAGCCTGCCAGTGATGTAACATATGCAATTTTCATTCCCATCAATCCATGATATGAGCTGTGAAAACTGACCCGCCCAAAACTATTCATTGCAATGAAATGATACGACAAAAAATTGAAGATTTCCAAGTTCTAAGGCATTAATCCTACATAATGAACCTTTTTATGGATTGAGTCAATCGACATACGGCATTTCACAATATAAGTTTCCAACTCAATGGTAACAATTCTATGCCATTCATCCACAACCCAAAACTTTAATCAACAACCACCAGAGTGACTTAATGGAACATGATAATATCTTTAATTTTACACGTTGAACCTTTCAATGGATTGACATATGACAATTCACAATATAAGTCTCCAAGTCAATGGAAACAATTCAATATCATTCATCCACATCCTAAAACTTCAATCAATAACCATTGCAATGACTTAACGAAACATGATAACAACACATAAATAAGTAAAGAAATCACGCGTTACAAGCTGTAAAAAGTTTGAAAACTATTAGCTTGGTAGCAAATTTTACAAAGATGCACAGTTAGTATTTTGTAGAAATAATTATTTTAGTTTCAGTCTTTGCAAAATTCCATCATCCTCGGGTATTAATAACAAGAAAAAGAAACTACATCTATCAATCTAAGAAAACACAGCCGTTTGCAAAATCCTATTGCAGCCATGGACTCAACAAATCCAACCGTGACCATAATACCTCAGTCAAAAAAGCTAGCAAAAGAAACTAATTTATCCTAATTGCTCTTCAACCAGATGGAACGGATATCAAAGCTGCTTCAAAACTCGTATATCAATGCATAATAAGAATCAAATTCAACAGACAGGTAAAACGTTTAGAAAATAGAAAAAAGAAGAAGTTTCTACCGATATGTTGATTGAGAAGCGCGTCAGCGGCGGCGGCAGCACGTGGATCGCGGTTGTGGTGAGGGCGGAGGCGCCAGGGTTGGCCGTCGAGCGACTAAACTCCACGGCGGAACGTGAATTTTAGGGTTTAGTTTTGTAAAGTGCAACTCGGGCAGAAGAGAGTACAACCTTTGCTTAATTCAACTATTTTTTTGTTCGAGTTAATGAGCACCGACGAATGTTTTCCGGTACGAACCGGACCAGGGGTTTGGTCGACTCAAAGAAATTCGGGTCGGATTGATTGTAGCAAAGACAAGTTGTGTGCAACACTGCAACTCAATTTATTTTAATGGAAAAAAAAAATATTGGTCGGTTTTGAATTTTGAGTTGAGTTTTTATGAATTATGGTATAGTTAGACATGACTAAAGGTCGACTCGGCTCAAAACTGATCCTGGACTGGCCCTAAACCGGCCTATTAATGGCGGTTCGTTGAACTTGACCCGTAGAGTTGTGGTTCGGTCCCTATTCGTAAAGTTTTTCTTTTGTCTTGTCGGTCCGGGCCGGGCCAGGTCGTCGGCCGCAATGGTTTTTTTTATGGGCCGTACTGACTCGGAACTGCTCGAAACCCGTCGGGTAGGTGAATCGGTCCATATAAATGGTCGGGTCAGTCACGGGCCATGAAATTGAGACTCGTTGGCCCGGCAATTGGCCACGTCTAGGTACAACTCGATATTTTTTCTTTACAAGTTGGGTTTTTATTTTTTCTTTTTCCTTTTTTTTGGGGTTTTGGTGATGGTGTTGCACGAATTGAATCCAAATATAAATCCAAGAAAAAGATAAATAAATATCAAATCGAACAGCGCAAATCAGTATGTGCAACTATTTATATAGTATGACAGTTCTTTAGTTCAGTTTTTATTGTGTTCGATTTTAAAATTTCATAATTCCGATTTCAGTCACATCCCAAAATTGTAGTTTATCTTGCATAAATATTTTTGTCACTCTGAAATTACATATCATTTAAGAATTTAAAAGTATGTAAATATGGAACCACTTTCTTTTATAAATAAGTTTATAAAACTTCACCACATTTTTCCGGTTTTTTGAATTGTATTTACGAGTAAGCAAAATCGAGCTAAAATTGAAAAATCAAGCCGAAATGTGCAATTTAGTGCGATTTAGTACATTTTTTTAATGTACAAATATCTGTTCGATTTCAGTTTTGACTTTCTCCTACATTGTGGTACGATGGGGTTATAGTATTTTATAAGTTTAATCTTTAGTTTTGTTCGATTCAGTGTAATTTTGCACCGAACTGCACCAAATTGAATAAAATGTGTATAAAATCGTGATAAAATCGAAAACCAAACCAAATTGTGCATTTCGATGCGGTTTGGTTTGGTTATTTCAATGTAAAAATATTTCAATTCGATTTCGGTTTGATTTTTTCTAAATTGCAGTGTGGTTCAGTTATTGTTTTGATATGTGCGGTTTTTGTTGTTTTGTGCGATTTTTCACCGAACAGCACCATTGCTCACCCCTAATTGTATCGTATAAAATGGAACAACTTTCTTGTATAAATGCATCTCTTGGTCACATAACTTATAAGCTAGATTCATTAGTCCTATAAAAAATTTTCTGGGGTGCATGCACATCAGTTATCATGGCTACTTTATATCAAAAGCACAACCTCCGCTCTTTCCTGGCCGAGCTTATTAGATTAGGGGGCCCCTCGAAGATTTCCTTTCGGTTAGACATTTCATAAGTTACATATTCTAGCACGCTCTTAACTTGTGACTCCTTTTCGCTCCTAACTTGTGACTCCTTTTCTAATCATATCATGAGGTTAAGTTCGTTATCAAAGAGTTATTAGAGTCATCATATGTCCTGGACAAAACTTGCTCTAATACCATGTTAAACTTATAGATTTGAGAGAAAATGATACAGTCTCATTGATCCCAAATACATCATTAGAGAGTGTCATTGTGCCAAATAAGTAAAGTTCCACAAAATCAATTGATATAGGAAGTAGTAGTTCACTAAGTTTATAAATCAGACTCATTTGCCTTGCAAAATAAATGTTGAAAAACTCGAAGATAATATTCCAACAAGTTTATCACTTTTTAACTCTACCAATAAAAGTGAACCAAAATTCCATAAGGTTGAAACAATTAAAATTATGAACACATAAACTCAAAACCACTATTTAAAGTATTTCATTATTTTATAATATAAAAGTAGAGCACAAATTTTTGTGTCAAGCGACATTATTAATGTTATGCGGATCGACCTATCATACATTTTTAACAAAAATGCATATTTATGCAATGAAGTACGTTACTTTTATTATACTATTTTTGTAAGCTATGTCATTTCAATTTAATAACATGCATATTTGTTGAAAAATTATGATCGTATAATCGTTAAGCTTGCCTAGCGATGGCCAACATTACTATAACTATAAGGAGACACATAATTGGTTGAAGACTTGGGGCATACATATGCACCATAACCATGGCTATATTTCCATAATTAGTTACATCGTTTTTATTCATCTTCTCTAAAGAGTCATCCACAAATCTACACACAATATTCATCTACTCGAGTACTCCCAATCAAACTTCTTCTTTAGTTTGGTGGATGGGAAAGGGTACCATGCTGAAAAATAAATCCCATCACTCTTTGCTATCCAATAACATGTATGTGATTTACATGGAATTTTAGGAACCCATCTAGCATTAAAGGCATCGAAAGCTTTGGTCTTTTGTCCCCAAGTAAGACGACAAAAGAACAAAGTTGTCCAAGGTATGAGACAAAACCCGAATAGAAAATTTTGATTAGTTGTCAATGTTCGATTTCCCAAATCGTCGTTTTTAGATGCGCAATGCACCAACAATGGCTCAGTGTCACTAGTAGAAAAAACATCTTTTATAACATGGTTTTTATAACAGGTTTGTTAAACCCGTTATAGAAACAAATTTATATCGGGTGTCTATGAAACCCGTTATAATGTTTTCAGAGTCTCAATTATCTACAACGGTTATTTAAACAATTGTTATAAAAATTTTCAGATTCTCAATTATCTATAATGGTTATTTTAACAATTGTTATAAAATGTTTCACATTCTCAATTATCTATAACTGTAACTTAAATAATTGTTATAAAATTTTCAGATTTATCAATCCGTGTGTCACTGTTTCTAACAAAATACTTCTCCCTGCGCCAAATCACATACTTGAAATCGCCCAAAATCACACAACCTGTTGAAATCGCCCAAAATCGCACAGTCCCAAGCCCTATTCCAACTCTCCCTTCGTCGTTCGTGCCAAGAGACCGTCGTCGTTCTCGCTGCTCTGAGCCCTCGCTGCACGAACCCTCACCATTCGGTGTTGGCCGTTCCAATCCCTATTCACACTCGTCCGTCGTCGTTCGTAGTAAGCCCCCGTCGCCGTTCGTACCACACTGGTGCTCACCGTTCGTACCAGGCCCTGTTCGCACGTCCCCATCCCCCGCAGCGCTCCCCGTCCACTGCGTTTGAGCGCTCACCGTCCAAGTATGTAACTATTTTTACAAGCCAACATTGATTCTGTCAAGTTTTCAGATTTTCTGTGGTTCAAACCTTTGTA